TGGGTTTAGGGCCTCCCCGGTGGCGCAGCGGTTGAGCGCTGGGTTGCGAAGCTGCACGCGGCCTCTGCGGCGCCGGTTCGATCCCCCGCTGCTCCCCGGCCACCGGAGGAGGGTCCCACATGGCGTGCAGACCTCTCCTGCCGCCCGCTGCTCCCCTCAGCAGTGTACTTCGGTCCTTCTGCCTGCTCTGCTCCCCGCTCTGGCTCTGGTGAATTCTCTCACCCTCCCGCGCTTCTGACTGTACCCAGTGCATGTATGAACAGAACAAACAAACAAACCAGCAAACAAATAAATAAAGCATGCCTCTATTAAAAAAAAATAAATAAAAAAAAATAAAAAAAAAAAAATAAAAGCCCTGGGTTTAAATAAAAGTTCCTATTATTATAGAAAGATATTTAAAATGTTGCACATTAGTAACTTGTTGATAGTTTAATAAAAGTAGTGAAAATATTCTTTTATAAAAACTTAAAATATTAGCCTAGTCAAATGAAAATGTTTCCTCCAGACTATAAAAATAAACATTAAAAATAGAATTCTAGGTCTTAAGGCTTTTGGTTGAGAGAAGGCTAAGGAGCGACTTTTTACAACCCAAATTCAGGTTCAGCTGCTTCACATGCCACTTAAGTTCAACTTCAACAAGATTAAAGTCATATACCTGAGGTGCACCAGTGGGGAACTCAGTTCCAGGTCTTCTCCAGTCCCCAAGATTGGCTCCCCTAAGTCTGTCCCCCCCACAAAATTGTTGAGGGCTTCACCAAGATAACCTATGACTGGAAGGGTCTGAGAATTACAGTGAAATTGACCAGGCATAACAGGTCCAGACGAGGTGGTACCTTCTGCCTCTGCCTCATCATCAACACCCTCAAGGAACCACCAGGAGACAGAAATATGCAGAAAAACATTAAGCATAATGAAAACATCACTTTTGATGACTGTCAGCACAGACTGACAGATGCGGCGCTGATCTTTAGAGAACTCTATGGCGCCATTAAAGAGATCCTGGGGTTGGCTCAGTCTGGGCTGCCATGTTGATGCTACCACCTTCATGATATCATCAATTACATCAATAGTGATGTGGTGGAGTGCACAGTTGGTTAAGAGCCACAAAGGAAAATGTTTCAATAAAGGATCACTTGACAAACTATATATACATATGTATGTATACATAAATTCTAGAACCAGTTTTGGAAGTTTTTTTTTTTTTTAAGTGGCTATGGAGGTAGCTAAACTTTTCGCTACCAAAAGGGTAGGAAACACACCTATTGAGGGCACTACTATGTGCTCCACAGTCAGCCGAGTGTCTGGCTATAGGAGGTGCTCAACAAATGTGTGTAGAATGAATGCATGGAGAGTTGCATGGATTTTTGAATCAGAATGATTTGGTTGAATGATGGTGTAGGATAAGGTAAAAGTATCAGGCTTTTCTGCCCTCCTGCCATTAGGATAGATGATGGAACCCTGTGGTCCTGAATGCATGCCTGATGGAGGGCACCTGGAATAGGGTGTGGGCATATGTAGATAGGATTCACCTGGGCTAAGACTGGGCTTTTAAGGGCGGCATCACAGGGATGCCAGCAGAAGCAGAACCACGAAAGAGCAGAGAGGAGAGAAGCAGAGACCACCAGAGAACGCTGGAGAGCCCAAGCAGAGTGCTGGGGGCTGGGAAGCCTGCCAGCCTCCCGGCCCCCCAGTGTCCCTGCCTGCTGTGTTCCCCTATCACCCTGCCTGCCTTGTGCCTGGTAAAGCCCAATAAAAGCCTGCAAAAGCCACTGAGGGCTCCAGGCCTCTCTCTTCTCCTTTACTCTGTCTGCTGGATCACAGAACCTGCTCCTTGTCTTCCTGCCCCTCTACAGATGGCTACATATTGGAAAACTAATAGCAATATCTACATCCAAAGATTGTTAAGAGGACTGAAAGAGGTAACACATGAGAAGTATCTGGCACATGTATTAAGGTATGTTTTCCTTAGTGCTGTTCATATTTTTGCTAATTTCATATTACCCATTAAGATCAAATAGTATTCCAAACGACCTGATTAATAAACTGCCACATGTATTCTAACTATATAGAGAAAGACCATACATGCAATAAAATCCTACTTAATAAATCTTTGGCTGATATACCATCAGAGCAGCCAAACTGTTCAGGAAAATAACTGCTTCAAGGCTTTTTAAAGAAGTCTGCACGTGGCTTTCGGTTGCCTTTTTAGCTAGTGACCCTGGATTTTAACTAATGAACTCCAGCTGTTATTATTTTGCCGTTCAGCCCTTCTCATTTAACCTTCCGTCTCTCTGGTCTCAAATCCTTGAAGTTCTTGCAGGAAAAATGGGACAGTGCCAAAGTTTTCAAGTGGGGCCTCATATCATCTTGAGGGGAGAAGGCTCCTCTAACCAGGGCTCCCAGCCTTTACATTGGTGGAGAAAAGAAACATTCATTGTTGGAAATTGGATGCCTAACAACCTCCAATGTGTCAAAAAATCCTTTTGTGGTTTTAATATTATACAAGCAAAGCATTCAGTAAGGTAAGTCCATAAAACAAACCAAGAAAGTTCACAGTTGAATACTAAATGTAATTGCAAACACCTGTGGTGGAGAGGCAATTCCTTGGTAAATATGCAATAAAAGAAACATTTAGCATACAGAACAATACAGATCCAGCTTTTCTGAACCCTGCTGAGAACCATCTGTTAGCAAAACCAGCGAAAGATTTCACTGTTAAGTCAAATGTCTTTACCTGAAAAACTTGGCTGTGGGCAAAATCTGAGCCAGGCAAGCCTTATAGGCAACAGGCAATTTCAAGAGCACACAAAGCAAACACCACCATGGTAATAAGTGAACCTGGGCCTAGAGACACTCTCTTATGCTGTGGACCTAGGGATTTCCAATATCTTCAGAAATGCTTTTTAACCTATCCACGTATCTGTTTCTAAATTTGATCATTCTTTCATGGGGACCACTAATAAGTGCATTAGTAAATGCAGCCTTCATTATATTAAACACTTAAACCCATGCTTTCTTCCAGAACACACCTGATCCCACCAAGCTGAATGGCTGGCTAACCCAAAGCCATTTGGCCATTCTACTTAAATTCAAAATGATGTATTTCCCAGAGGCTCTGAAAGAGTTTTGGAAGTGGCATCAAATTCAGTTATAAACTCATTTTCTGAATTATTTTTCCATGCCTGTTTGCATAACCCATCTTTCCAGACTCACTTCAAAATCTACTGACTCCATTAGCCATACTGAGACTGACTGGTTTTCATCTTAGTTTACAAGGTCTTTTTTTTAACCTCCATTATAACACTTGTAACTTGAATCATCTGTGCTAAGACTGAAAATTATGTTGAGCAAAGATCAGGTCTTTTTTTTCCCCCCTCATCCTTCACAACATCCAACAATAATCTCTGCATATATTATGTTGCTCATTAAGAAGGGAAAAGTAGTTTAACAGGAGATGAAGACCAGGAAAGAGTCATTTCTCTGTTTTTTTGCTGAGATGGACAGCAATCCTATCTTTTTTCTTCAAATGGTTCATGTAAAAGGCTAATAAATAGCATTTTAATGATTTATTTTCATATATTGGTTTCTTGATTTTTATATTAAAAAGTATCTGTCATCATGATGGTAAACAAGACATCACTAAGGGAAGAGAAAGAATTGAGTAATAACAGCAACATTTGCTGAACTTTGGAAAGAAACTCTGTGACAAGTGCTTTATATGCATAGCCTTATTTAATCTGCATAACAACTTAATGAAATAGGTTCTATTATTCTCTGTCTGAAATAAACTAAATCTAAAATAGATAAAGCAATCTAACCATGGTCATACTAGTAGTGATTGGTAGATCTAAGATTCAAAACCAAAGTCTATCTGACACCAAGTTCCTTATCCATTTGCCATCCTAGTCAGGGTATAGAGAAAATATAAGCACAACACTGAAAGCACATGCTTTCCAAGGAGTTATTCAAGACCTATCTGTAATTTTTTCAGGTAAAATTCCCACTGAGATTTCGTGAGATTACATTATTTTTCCCTCTTTTATGTGGATTTTTCTGGGATTTTAGATTTAACACCTAGCAAGGCACAAAAACACACAAAAGGTATTAAGTAAATACTCATTGAGTTTATAATCTTGGTCAACTAATATAATAGTTTTGAATTTTAGTTTCCTCAAGAGTAAATAATGAAATGATAGTGTAAACACACTTGGCAATCTGTTATAAAGAATAAAGTTGTGGGCCTCCCTGGTGGCACAGTGGGTTAAGACTCAGCACTATGAAGCTATCGGCATCCACTGCAGTACAAGTTCAATCCCCAGTCAGACACAGCAGACCTCTCCTGTCTCACCTGCTGCTCCCCTCAGCAGTGTTTAGTAGATCCACCTTTTCTGCTCCCCACTCTGTCTCTGTGAATCCTCTCACCCTCCCGTACCTCTGGCCTACACCCCAGCTCTTGTATGCATAAATAAATAAAAATAAATCTTAAAAAAAAAAGAATAAAGTTGTAATTACAATATTCTAGAAATTTCAAAAGCATTATGCTGAATGGATGGATTCAATGCATTTTTTAAGAAGATTTTATTTATGCATATAAGAACTGGGATATAGGTCAGAGGTGCAGGGGGAAAGAGGATTCACCAGAGACAGAGTGGGAAGCAGAACAGGCAGACTGACTGAAATACACTGCTGAGGGAGCAGCGGGTGAGACAGGAGAGGTCTGCTGTGCCATGAGGGTCAGCTCCCTGGTCAGGGATAGAACTTATGCTGCAGTGGCTGGTGATAGCACTATGGCACTGAGACTTTAGTCCCTGCTCCATTAGGGAGGCACTCATGCATTTTTTGTTTTTAATCAAATCAAGGACTTAAAACAGATCTCTTAAGTCTATGGCACTGAGACTTTAGTCCCTGCTCCATTGGGGAGGCACTCATGCATTGTTTGTTTTTAATCAAATCAAGGACTTAAAACAGATCTCTTAAGTCTCCACTCCAACTGTCCTTACCTTCCCGGATAGCTGTAAATGGGACTCCTTCCTCTGCATTCATGCTGATGACTTTCAAAGCCACGAGTTGTCCATTTATCCTAGAAGAATTGGGGAAAGGACACACTGAGATGTTTTACAACAGAATTTTTTAAGTTTAACAAAGTAGTTTTCCTTCAAAATAGATTCTAGCATATAAATCTATATATTTTTTCAAGATAAAGTTTTCAATGTCATATACATATATTCAATATGTACCAAAACAATTTTTTCTCTTTACCAAAGTATTATATATTCACTCTAGAACATTTGGAGAATACAGAAAATTACAAAATTCCCCCACCCAAACACCAAACCCATCTTCATAACATGTTCATGAATATTTTTTCCTAACATGCATATTTTCCCTTTTATTTCCCTTTGTAGGCATATTTGAACCATACTTAACGTTCATCTGAATTATTGTATTCACTTCCAGTAGCTTCCCTGCTTGAACACTTGCACCTCTACTGTCTACTTTCAACAGAGTAGGCTCAAAGCATCCTTTTAAAACAAAAGTCAAAACAAGCCATTTCTATTCTCAAACACGCTATTATTTCTACATTTCACTCTGAATAAAAGCCTGAGTTTTACAATGGCCTCCTGGGTGCTCCCTGATCTGCCCTTGACCCATGAATATTTCTCTGCCCTCCCATATTCATCATTTTGTTCACTAAATGCTAAGAGATTTTAATACACGTTTAAATACAAGTTAAGACAAGTTTATAATATAGTGGGAGTCATATCATATTACCAATAACCTGTTTTGCACTATTTAACTTTTTCTTTTTTCATTCTTATTCTATGTGATATGTAATAATGACATAATATTTCATCTTATAAATACACTAGGATATAATTAGCCAATTCCAAGTGCTTTAAAATTATTTCTAACTTTTTTGCTGTTATAAAAATATGGTAATGGGGGGGCACAATTGTATGGGGAATATAACCAAAATGAAAATGCATACATTGTGCAAAGATGAAAAATGATGTAATATTATATAAAATAAAATATTAAAAATAAAAATAAAATAAACAGGAGGGGTCTCCCCAGTGGCACAGTGGGTTGAGGGAAAAAAAACCAAAAAAATTAAAATATGGTAATAATCATATTTGTAGGTAAAATTTTCCACACAGCCCCTATTATTTTTTTATGGCAGAGGTTGAAGTGCCAAACCGAGTAGTATGCAATGCATACATTTTATTGTTTTGCATGCCTGTTCCCAAGTTATGCCACAGAGTGGTCATGCCACCTCTCCCTCACCAGCACTGGACAGGCTTATGTGCTGTATCATTTATTTTTTATTTTAAGGTTTCATTTTTTTTAAATTATTCATGCATACAAGAATTGGGGTACAGGCCAGATACGCGGGAGGATGAGAGGATTCACCAGAGACAGAGCGAGGAACAGAACAGGCAGACTGACTGAAGTACACTGCTGAGGGAGAGCAGCGGATGAGACAGGAGAGGTCTGCTGAGCCATGTGAGTCACCTCCCTGGCCAGTGGCTGCAGATAGCTTCATAGTGCTGATCCCCCTGTCCTTGTTTTTAAGGACCTTGACAATTTGGGGCATTCCTGATCAATTATTTGAACAATAGGAGGCCTTACTGGAATTTTTCTGTTTTTCTTATAATTGGACTGATTTTGGGGAAGGTATAAAGTACAATCTTTATCACAATATTTTAAGGGCTCATAGCATCATCATCATAATTTATGATTTTTGATATTGGCCTTAATCACCTAGAGGAGGGAGTGTTTGTCAGATTTCTTCACTGTGATTACACTTCTCCCCACTTACTTTCTACATTGTACTTTTGGGAAGAAAGTCAGTGTGTAGCCCACACGTCAAGAGTAGGGACTTAGCTCCACCTCTTTGAGAGGGTTTATCTACATGAATTATATGGAATTTTCCTGTACAGGAAATTTATCTTTTCTCTCCCATTCACAAATTTATTGAATGATTTAGTTATATTAGTATGTACTTATAGCTATTTATTTTATACTCTGAGTTAAAATCTAATACTGGTTTATTTATTTTGTTGCTCAAGTGTGTCCTCTGGGAGCTCTTTTAGTTGGCTCATGTATCCCTTTGACATGCTTCCATAATGTGGGGTGTGTTTTGGAGGGTATGCTTTTGTTTAATCTTCATGCTTAAACTAGTAGGTAAAAAGGTTTATCACATTTTAATTTATTTCTTTAACTTATAAAACTTATAAGTACTTATAAAACTGAATTTTTATAACTCTGTTTGTTCTTTAGTGTTCTTTTGCAATTTGCCTATTTGCAATTTGCCAACATTTTTACACTTGATCTTAGCCAAAAGGCAGAGAAGCGATTGCCAACATTTTCACTAAAATATTTTTCATGCACTTTGTACTGATTTCTTTTGTTTTCCATATCACATTTTTGAAACTTTGAACTTTAAAGTTTTAATATTTTCCAAATTGTTTTACTCAGAGCAGTTTTGTGAAAGCCTCCCAAGCCCACAAAAGGTTCCTGGTCAAATATGTTTAGAAAATGGTTAATATTTTTAGATTTTTTTCTTATTCTTTCTTAGACAGTCATAGCACTGACATTTTACAGATGTAAAGAGTACTGACAATAAAGGATTGCATTTGATTTGTTCTAGGGTTCCATGTGTCAATTTCACAATGGTAACTTTCAATAAAATATCTATTAAGGTGACTCAGAATCAGGGCTCCCTAGAACATGCTTAGAAGGACATTCCCAATTTTCCTTATGGATTCTGATTGAAGTGTTACAAATAGAGACTTTTCCATTCTATAGGTGACATAGAACTCCCTATCCTTCAAATTGCTATAGGTTTTCTTCTTCTTGTAACTCTTGAAATGAGTCCACTGGGAATTCATATTGTATATTTACTTTTTCCAGATTGCTAAAAATCATCCCAGCTCCAATGACTGGGCTCTATTTTTCGCTCTGTTGATTTAAAAAATCACCATGATTAGGCCACCCTGGTGGCTCAGCTGGTTGAGCGCAGTGCTGTGTTGCTGTCCGCAGCATGGGTTCGATTCCCAGCCAGCCAGGGAGATTCCCACATGGCGTGGCAGACTTCTCCTGTCTCGCCCGCTGCTCCCCTCAGCAGTGTATTTTGGTCGTCTGCCTGTTCTGCTTCTTGCTTTGTCTCTAGTGAATCCTCTCACCTTCCTGTGGCTCTGGCCTGTACCCCAGCTCTTGTATAAAAATAAATCTTTAAATCACATACACACACACACACATACAATCACCATGATTATATATTAGATCTTACTAATGTTTGAATTTTTGACAGTTCTGGACTTATAAAAATCAAATGTTCTCGATTTGTCTTTTCTTATACTCATGCCACACTGTTTTAATTATTGTAGCCTTTGAACATTTACAATACATTACAACTCTAAATTAGAGAATCATTGACATCTTTGCACTACCAGATTTTCTAATCAATAATCCTAAACTTTCAAGGGCTCCTGAAATGATCTATAAGATTCTATGCAACCACTTTACTGCAACTTCTCCCCATCTTCATCTCTTTCCATTCTCCCCCTTCAATGCCAGGCCTGCTTCTGCCTCAGGGATGTGTTATTAGCTTTTCACTCTGCCTGAAGTTTTTCTCTACTATATATGCATACAGATCACTCCTTACTCGTGTCTGAGTCTCTGCTCAAGAGTTCACTTCACAGTGACACCACTTGTTTTATTATTTTCCAAAGTACTTTCACTCTTTGAGAAACTCAGTATTTTACTAATTATTGTATTGCCTCTCTCAGCCCCACGAGAATGTACACTCCATAAGAGTAGAGATTTTTGTCTGTTTTGTTCTCCAGTGAATCATTATTGGCTAAAACAGTTCCTGGCATATAGCAGGCACTTAACAAAATGTTAGTAGATTGAATGAATGCCTGTCTGGCTCTTTCTTCAAGTCTTTTATATCCTTTGGTGAATCTTTATGTGAATTCTGCCCATTTTTGATGCTAATGATTTTTGTTGTTGCTATTGTGAGAGTAATTTCCCCTGCTACATTTTCAAATTGATATTGTTAATCTATAAAATAATTTTTGATAAATATATTTTGATCTTACAACCATTCACCTTACTGTTGTTCTATATTATTACTTCCAGAAGCTTCTTAGATGGTTCTTTTGGCTTTTTGTCAAAAATACTATAATCCACAAAAATTATTTTGTATTTTTTTCTCATCGCATGACTAGAACATTATAATTTTTAACAATAATGGATAGTGTACACTCTTGCCCTATCACTCACTTAATAGTAATGTCTCCAGTATTTAACAACAACAACAACAAAATGTATGTGGGCTCTTAATATTTTACATCATAATGAAGAATTACCATTCCATTCCGATTTTGCTTAGAGTTTTAAACTAGTAATTGATGCTGAATTTATTAAATTCCTAGTACCATGATATTTTAAAACTTGCTTTGAAATTATAGATGTAATGCCTTCACAGTAGGGAAAAAAGAAAAATTTGAGTGATCCTTCTTTCCCTACCCTAGTTTCAACCACTAGGGGTATCACATTTTAATAAGCACTTATGTATTTTTCTTGACTTCTCTATGCACATATAAATTTATGCATGTACAGTACATCTGAGTTCTTTTTTTCTACATGAAATCACAGGATTGATATTGTTCTATATGTTGCCTTTTTCTTTTAAAACCTTGAACATCTTTTCACATTAATACATCTATTTTATTTCATTGTATGGTGATTATTTGGCCAGTGTTTGTGATCATATTTTCGCTTTTTCTATTGCAAATCTTGCTGCCATGAATACTCTTTTCTGAGTCTCAGTGCATTTGGACAAGTATTTCTAATTTTTTTTTTTTTAATAGAGGCATGTTTTATTTATTTATTTATTCATTTGTTTGTTTTTGTTTATACATGCACTGGGTACAGTCAGAAGCGCGGGAGGGTAAGAGAATTCACCAGAGCCAGAGCGGGGAGCAGAGCAGGCAGAAGGACCGAAATACACTGCTGAGGGGAGCAGAGGGCGGCAGGAGAGGTCTGCGCGCCATGTGGGACCCTCCTCCGGTGGCTGGGGAGCAGCCGGGGATCGAACCGGCGCTGCAGAGGCTGCTGGCAGCTTCGCAACCCAGCACTCAACCGCTGCGCCACCGGGGAGGCCCTCTAATTTTTTTTTTTTTTGCTATATTACTAAGCTAATTCCCTTGAAGGAAATATTTTATATTCTCAGTTCCTAAGACAGCATATGGAAGTGAATTAAATTCTTTTTCCATATAAATTTAAAAAATATTTCCTTTAAAATCTGTCTTAACAAGTCAAAACAATAACACAAAGCACTAAGATAAATAATAATCAGTCTTGTTGTATCTGTATTAAATTTTGTAAATTAACATTTAACCACCTTTGAGCCATTAGTTTTGCTCCAGTGGAGTAACATAATTACGGAAACCAGAACTTCTGACTTCCCCATCTTGCCTAAAAAGCAGTGGAGCCCATTGAGTTTTCAAGCATGATTGACAGTTTGTTGTCAGTCAAAATGGGCACTTGACTTCTGGAAAAGCAGTGTTTTTATTCTCCAGTTACACTGTATATTTAGCACATGTGGAAAATCCAGGATTTTTTTTTTTTTTATGTCATACTTTGTAGAAACCAACTTCAGTTTTTCCTGTGAAGACAAAGTAGAAGAATGAAGAAATTCTCAAGGTTGCTACTGCAAACATGTCACTGATTTAAGGAGGTATATGAAACCCTTTAGAGACACCTTACCAACTGCACTTCCCACCTGGCTGAAGAGCAGGTAGAGAAAGTCTACTTTCTTTGAATTAAAGAAGAGAAAAGAAAAGCTGATAACATTTTAGAGATTCAAATATGGGCAGGATATATTTGTTTTTCTTTCAAGATTCTTTAAAGTACCTGTCTCTTCCTATTGATTTTGGTGTTGTGCTCAAGTCCCAGAAGCCTTGAACTTCTGCCATGTGCCGCCTGGCTTTATAATGTCAAGTGAGGATTGAGGTGGGGGACTCCTCAAGTCTGAAGTCTCTACCAGCTATGAGTCACTCACCTGCTAATCCCCTTGTAAACTGTAGCATAAGAACCTTCACCCAGCTTCTCCAAGTTCAAGTAAGATGAGGCCACCCCAAAAGGGGGGCTCTTCCTCTGTTTAAGGGGAATGGGGAGGGGTGAGAGATGGAAAAGAAAAAAAGAGCACTTTTTTCAGTGTTGGCTCCCTCCCCCCACATCCTCCCTCACCTCCCCTTCTTCCCCACACCACCCACCCCCCCAGGGAAAATTAGACAGTATTCCCACAATATACTTGGGAAGGCCTGCTAAGTCCTAGACAAGCAAATGTTAATTTCTTCTTGATCAACATCAGCTGCTCACTCACCCACTGAAAACCCTGCCTCAGATCCTCTTCCTGAAAAGAATCACTGTTACTCTCTGGCCCTTTACTCTTGAACTTCCGGGCATGGACAGCCTGAGGTCCCCTGGGGTGAAATGAAGTCATAGAACATGATGCTTCTTTTAGGTCTGTTAGCTAAAGAAAAAAGAAAACACAAATAAAATTTTTGCAAAGTCAAGACTCAGTAGCTGGCATAAACCATTTTTTCTTTACTTGCCTAATTTTCACTTTTCAAATATTTTCTAAGCTTCCTACACCCTCAAAAAGGAAGTCCGTAACCTAAATGTCAGATCACTAAAAGAGACCATAATGATATCAACTGCTGAAACACCACATATTTTCTTCACCCAAAAATATGTCTTTAATCCTTAGGTAAGCCAGACTCTCTTGATGGATGGTTTCTAATTTTCTGCATTTAACGCAGCCTTCCCCCACCCTCCCGCCCCCAAGTCCCTTTATTTTCTCTCTTCAGGAGAATAATTATCTAGTTTACTATTGCTAATAAACATGAGCTAATTACTGAAATTTTGAATCTGTAGTATACCAATACTGCAGCTTGTTTTTTGAGGGTCAGCTCTGCAATTTAATACTTCAGAGATTTCAGGAGAACAACTTTGTCACTTGAAGTGAGTTTCCTGCAGCCCAGGCATAGCATAATTCTTCCCCTTTGGTTTACAAGAAAAAAATCCCAAAGTTGATAACAACAGCCATAAATTCTGTGACTATAACAGAATTTTTTTTTTTAATGGTTTAAAGCCATCACAGAAAAATCTGACCCTACTTCAGAAAAGGAGTCTCTGAACTCCTTCATCTATCTAAAGAGGAAGATGCTCCTCCTGGGATACAGATACCTCGATCGCAGCCTCCATGGTCACAGGCGCGCTCCTCTGACAGCTGTGTGCATCGCCTCCCTCCCAACAGCGATGGCAGCTGCATCCAGGCTGGAGAGTCTTTGCACACAGCTCTTGACCCATAATCTTCTAGGTTCAAGGAGAAAGCCGCACTTGAACCTCTCCCCCTCTGCCTCTCCTGTCCTCGGTCACTCCCTTTTTGCCAGAGGTCAGCAGTGCTGGAGCTTTCATATGACTCACATGGGGCTCTGCCTTGAACAGCCTCATGACTTCAGCAGTTTTTCCTTATCGGTTTAAGAAACTATACATCTGAAAGGCTGCTGTCTGCATTCCTCTGAGCACAACTGAAAACTGGGTGGCTAATTATTGGGTAGAATAAAAGTTGGCAAAGTTTCTTAGTCCAGTCACAAGTTAGTGCTGTTGGTATGCACTGCTTTTTTTTTTTATTTATATTTCTCATCCTTGTAAATAATAATGATATTTATTAGGCTTCTCTGATGCTAAAGTGGGCATATTGAGAAATATTTTCTCTTTGCCTTTCATCTGAAAGCATTTTGCTTTTCAAATTTTAGAATACATCTGCAATCTAGCCAACTTTTAATAGTCAGAGAAACCACAGAGTCATAGAACAGGAAGAAAGCTGGAGATATCTACTTCATCTCTTTGCATTGAAGCAATAGTGTATCTGATAGTCCCAGAGGGATGGTCATTCATTCATTGATTCAAAAATTATCTAGTGACCACCTGTGTTCTTATTATATAGAAAATGATGTTACCCAATGAGGGAGAGTGAGGTTTGCTTGAAATGCCACTTTCTTTCCCTCTCTCCTGTCCTCCACATAAGTGTAATTAATGTTTACTGTATTAATAGCACAGCAAGTCAAGGAACTAGTTCAAGCTCGTTTGTAGGCTCTGAACAGAACTTTTTTCTCTGAGATGCTCCTAAGGTTATTATAATTATAATACGCTAATCAGGACAAGACAGAATGTGGGACACACACACATGCATGCACGAACATATCATGTCTGTTACCACACCAATATTTATGGATATTTGCTATATGAATCTCATGATGGCTTTTAAAAACCCCTTCATATAATATGAGTAGACATTGAAGTTTTATTTCAAAATTTCCACAAGAGACTCCAAACTGAATAAATTAAATATATACTTAAGTTAGAGATATTTAGTAAAAATTAAAAGCGACTAGTTACACTAAGACAGGCCATTACACTTTTGATTGACAATCAACAGAGTAACAGAAGGTAGTTACTCAGAATATTTATTAATTTCATTAGAACTTATTATAATTTTGAGTATAATAATTTTGTCAGAAATATGATTTCTTTCTTTTCTTTAAGATTTATTTATTTATGCAAGAACTGGGGTATAGAACAGAGGCACGGGGAGAGTGAGAGGATTCACCAGAGACAGAGCGGGTTGCAGAACAGGTAGACAAACTGAAACACACTGCTGAGGGGAGCAGCGTGCGAGACAGGAGAGGTCTGCTGCATCATATGGGTTTCTCCTTGGCCAGCCGGGAATCAAACCGGTGCTGCAGAGGCTGCGGACAGCTTTACAGCCCTGCGTTCAACCTGCTGTGCCACCACGGAGGCCCTGATTTCTTTCTAAAGGGAGATTGTGACTCTCATTATATAAAGTTACATGGTCTGACCAGGTTTGAGTTTTTTTTAATCAACCAAAAGTTTCAGAATTTAGAAATTAAGCTTTAGAATTTAAATCTCATTTTTATTAGTGCAGAGGATCATTCATCTAGTTACAAGTATGCTAAAAGAGAATAGCTTTCCATTTTTTAAGGCTTAAAATGCTGTTTAGCTACTAGAATGAACTAGTGAGGGAAACTGGGAAATATCCTTCAGAATTTCAAAAATAAAATAATTTATGGTCTTGTAAAAGTTAAGGAAAAATATTAGATGACTTCTTCAGATGTTTTCTAGTTCTGTGTCTGAAACAGCTTTTGTTACCCAAGATTTCTAAATAAGAACAGAAGACAGATGATTTCATTTTGGTTTGTAAATCAGGCCCAGTTTAATGTGCCACTCAGGTTAGCTGGCTGACTTACCTCCATGGCCTGGTTGACTTCATAGTGGGAGAAGCCATTCCTCTGACTTGTGGTTTGGCCACTGTTACTGCTCCCTCCCAAGGGCACAGATCAAAGAGGCCCCACACATGAAACTGACTGACAAGCACAGACCTCAGTGTCTGGCCATCAGCTTGAATGGACCAACAAAGGTTCTTCTCCAGCAACTTTCTGCAAGGGTTAGGTGACAAGATCAAGAAGTGCAGGGATTTTCATGGAATGTGCTTCCACCATTATGAAACCAGCACTGTTTGATGTGGCGTTAACTCAAGTCTTTGCTTTCGCTTCTAGGCCTTACTTCCCCTTTCCCCTCACTTCTACTTCCCTGACATTGCAAATGATGCCCTCCCATCAAATTAAGTGTTAGCACATAAACTTTTGCTTCTGGCTGTTTCCAGGGAATCTGTGTTAAGTCAAATTGCAGTCATTTTTTAATTAGCAGTAAAATTATAGGTTATTGATAATTTAAAGCTAGATTTTCCCAGCCTACATTTTTGGAGTCCTTTTCTTTTCTCCAACAGTGTTTTTTCAAACCATTATACTATGCTCAGTTGAAAGTTTGCACTTTTTCCAGTCTTTGCATCTGTCTTTATTAATTTAGCCAGTAAAGTAAAAAAATCTTAAATTTGATTTGAAAATATTAGTCTAAACTTATCATTTTTTTCTTAAAAAAAAAACCCTGTCAACCAAAAAGACTTAGAAACAGTGACAATTCAATAACAGTAAGCAACTCTAATACTTAATCTGTGGTCTCTAAGCATCAGTTTCCATTCAAACGAACATAGCATCCATGGAGAAATGGTGGCCAATGTCTGGAGGATGAAATCTGGAAAGTTATCAAGAAAGATGCCCCAGTCATCTTAAGTCAATGCAAGTCATAACAGAAGAACATAGGAAGCAACGCGAAGGGATTCCCATTTGGCTTAAGATGGGACAATTTGAAGATCAAAAACAATAATGGCCACAACAAATTAAAATACATGAAAGATATAAACTATACGTTTATAGTGAGTACATAAAAATGGTCATTTGGAGTTTTCTAGTATACCAACTCATTATTCTGACAATTGATAAAAGGGAAAAACCAAGTACATATTTTGTATCTTCTATAGACATTATTTCTCTAGTATTATCAAATAGTTAATGAGGGGAAAATTCTTCATAGAGGAATTACAGCTAATAAATGCAAAAGAAGTGATAGATATAGAAAATCACTATTGCAATCCCTAGTGCAATATTTGATCCAAGCAACAATCATCAATGAATGCTAAAATCATTGGTGGAAGATTGATAAAGAATCTTTGCAATGAAAGGTCAGATTGATGCCATCTGAGTCCAGTGATCAATGTTAACGCCACTAAAATTAGGCTAGGCATGCAGACTTTGAGTCTCCTGATAGGACACAAAAGAAGAACACAGCACTATTTATGATGCATTTTTTGACTAAAGAAAAAAAATTAACCTGAATCTAATCAACTGTGTAGATCTAAAACCAGATTACAAGAAAAAAGGAGGACAGAGAAGTGAATTAACACCTAAGGAAATAAACAACCAATTAAATCAGGAAGGATGATTTCGCTAACAAATCAATGTCATTAAAGAGAAGAATAAGAAGAGAATTGAAAAGACTTGAGAGATAGAGCTGAAAAATGTAACATGTAGACCTTGTTTGGATCCTGATCTGAACAAATTGATTGTAAAATGGTATTTACCTCTGAGCTTATTGAGGTATAATTGACAAATAAAAATTGTATATATTTAAGATGTACAAGGGATGTTTTGATAGATGAATAATACAAACTACAAAAAGTTTGCCACAATCAAGCTAATGTAACATATTTATCCCTCACATAACTTTTAAAAATGAGAACAGTTAGAGGGCCTCCCTGGGGGCGCAAGGGGTTAAGACACAACCTATGAAGCTATCCACAGCCACTGCAGCAGGAGCTCGATCCCCGGCCAGGGAGAAGACCCACATGGCACAGCAGACCTCTCCTGTCTCGCCCACTGCTCCCCTCAGCAGTGTATTTCAGTCTGTCTACCTGTTCTGCTCCCTGCTCTGTCTCTGATGAATCCTCTCACCCTCCACATCTCCGGCCTGTACCCCAGTTCTGTATGTATAAATAAATAAATCTTTTAAAAAAATGAGAACAATTAGCATCTGCTTTCTTAGCAAATGCCAAGGATACAATACAGTATTACTAACTAGTGTCACCCTTTTGCGCATTTGATCTGTAGAACTCAATGATGTTGCATAAACGAAAATTTGTATACTTCTGACAACATTTCCCCATTTTTTCCACTGCATCAACCCCGGTTACCACTTTAAAATGATATTTCTGAGACAAGTATAAAAATTTAAATATGGTATTAGGTGATCATAAGAATTTTTTTTGGACCAGTGAAACCTGAGGAAACAATCAAGTCATGCTCTTATCAAGCCTGGCCTAGGGCCTCCCAGGTGGCACAAGGGGTCAAGACTCATCACTAAGAAGCTATCTCCACCACTGCAGCATGAGTTCAATCCTGTATTTCAGTCAACCCACCTGTTCTGCTCCCCACTCTGTTTCTGGTGAATCCTCTTATATCCCTCCCCTGCACCCTCCCCCACACCTTTGGCCTACACCCCAGCTCTTGTATACACAAATAAAAATAAAATCTAAAAAAAAAAAAAGACTTCTGATCTATAGAAACTCCAAGATAATAACTTTGAGTTGTTTAAAAAAGAAAAAAAGTACAACCATTTCTGTTACTGACATTAGAGTTAAATTTCCCACATTTGTCTTCATGGAAGATATTTCCTTCCTTTTGCAAAGTATAGATAATAATTGTACTTTGGGTAAAATTAATTATCCTTTTAAAAACAAGAAATTGTTTAATTTTGCATAGTTGTTATGGTTTTAGCACAGTTCTATAGTTCGAGTGCAATCTAAGTACTTATATGTGGAATGACATAATTTCCTTGCTTTTAACTATTCTAGAAAAATAATGTTGGGGATAAGGCAACTAAAATTGCTAAAC